GTTAGTGTAAATGTGAGTCACTGATTTTAGTATGTTAGGTGAATTCAGGCAGTTGGTTTACTTCGTAGTTGAGTGTATTGCATGAAGCTACATAATAGATCAATTCAGGAATAAAGTTAATCATGTTGGGAGAATGAAAATGGTCTTCATATACGTAGAGAAAATTCCTTATGACTCTTGTGTCTCAGCCAGTTCTCAGAGTAGTGCCAGTTGAAATGATAAAAGAGGAGGCATGGAAGGTTTTCAGATGGTCATGAGGGCATTTTGGGAGACTGTATCCTCAGATGGTTATCACTAGTTGTTTTCTCATGATTCTTTTGCTATGATATTTGTAATTATTCTTCCCATTTCTTCCATAGGTTCAGATGTGTCTTTAGAGGATAAGTTAGCAAGTACTGAGCTGTTTATCTTCTTTACAAATCTGCTCAAGACATTCATCTTCCAGTTACCAGAAGGAGAGAACCCCCGCCTCCAAAGAATCTAGAGTTGGGTTGACAACATACCCTCATTCTTATAAAATCTGTGCTGTTCCTCACCACAGGACATCATAAATTATAAATCTTATTAGGACACTCTGGTTTTACAATAAATTTATGCCAGTGTGAAATTCAGTCTTGGCTTCCTCAATTCAGTCTTGAGTAGAAAAGTGCAGAACTTTTGTCAAATCTATGATAGATTGGATTGCTCAGCCTGTAATGAAAGCCTGACAAATTCCTCCTTGTTTGACATTATTATTCTAGTGTGTAATACTGGTTCCTTGCAGTACATAAGTATTTGATTATGTGCCATCAAGTTGTTTTTGACTCTTAGTGACCACTTAGATAGGTTGTCTCCATCTATCCTTAACCTGTTCTTTCAGTTCTCCCAGTGGTGCACTCATCACCATTGTAATATGCAACCTTACATTCTCTCCTTTTGTGTCTTTGGAAAAATGTTCAGTGAGTTGATGAGATAAATTGTAGGTATCCTGTTCTTGCAGCATTTGGGATATGGTGCATTTTCATTTACAAGTTGATTGGTAAGTTATATTGAGGTTTACATGCTAAGAGAAATCTATTTATTATTCAGAAAATGTCTATGCCACGCACACCTTCAAAGGCTAGGGCATCTTACAAAAATAGAAAGGTAATATTTCATTTTGTGTAATACAATGGAGAGAAATTAAAAGAAAAATGTTGGTGTCCAAGACTTGCTAGATGTCACTGAGTCTGGGGTCAATCCCATCCTTATTTGGCTGAATGAAACTACCATCGTTGCCCTCCCATTTTTAAAGCAGCCGGATCTGTTCTGTATGAAAGGCCTGAGGAAAACACATGTGCTTTCACTTTTCTTCCGGTGGGAGAATGTGAAGTCCATATCAGAAATTTCAAAAAAAAAAAAAAAAAAGAAGGAAGGAAGGAAGGAAGGAAGGAAGGAAGGAAGGAAGGAAGAAAAAAGGTACTAAGAGTAAACTCAAAGTATTATGTTTTATTGGTACAAAAAAGGAAAGAAAGGTAAAGCTTAACAAGCTTACTTAGCATATTGTTCACACACAACCTCCAGCTCTTTCGCTAACCTGGTTAAGTATGTTGTGAACCCAGCAATAGGTTGAAGAAGTTTCTATGTAGAGTAAATAGGGGCAGAATATCACATTAAGTGAATGGGCATACAGGAAACATTTACCATACTGAAGAAGTGTACTGTAATTAGTGTTATGTTTTTCATGGTGTTTTTATAAGTTTTATGCCTGTGTGGGGAACAGCACACAGTTTGTAAGGGTGTGGATGCATGATCACCTTTGCAACAGGTGCCTGATTGAGTTCTTTCACTCCTTTGGGCAGCTGGAAGCTGAAGGCCCTCAAGAGGCTGGTCAGAAAGATGAAAGTCTCAGTTCTTGCCAGCTGCTCTCCCACACATACCCGCTGACCTGTAGATGAGACAAGGCATGTAGAAAGGGAATAATACTCTATTTTCCAGAGTATATCCTGATCAGCAAGAAAATCTGAAAAGATTTGTAAGAGCCCCAGATGTTTTCCAAGTTGAATCCTAGTATCTTGTAGCAGATTCAATTACTAGAGGTGTTTTCTCCCTTTTACTCAGTTTGTTGACACCCCACAAGGTGATGACTTGAACTCAGGTTGCACTAGCGGATAAACTAATGGTACACCATTTCAAAGGCAAAGCTATGCACCCCTGAAAAAAACTGATCTGGCATGTTTTTCCAGAGATTGGCCTAAAAGAGGGAAGTCACTTTCTCAGCTCTCTGTCCACCAACTTATTCTACAGTGCATCAGGCTACAGCTGGAGTAGAGGAAGGTGGTATGGACATGATCTATAGGAATTCCCTTTCACTGACCAAACACATATTCTGACAGTCTGCCAATGTGA